AAAACGAAACCAGGAAACAAATTTTTCTTTAAAGACCATTTAAATTTAAACATTTTACATGGAAACCAGAGTCTTATCGGTTTTCAAGTAGTGTTGATTCAGGAAAAAGTGTGCTGGCACTATTCCTTTGAAACAAGATCAAACATTTATGGTCATTTCTGCATGTTACTGTTATAAACAATGTGCCTAAAAGGAAATAAGATGTATATTTGTGTCATTTTATTCAAAATTTGCGCAACGTGAAAACAGAAATTATTTAAGTTGTGAGACATCTCTCTTTGGATAATGAGAAATCCTGTTGAAATAAGATATTTGATTTAAATTGAATTAATCATCAACCTGTAAAGTGTTGAGTTCGGCCACTCTCCTGTTCCACTCCTCCTCTGTCATTTCTTCTTCTTCTCCTCTTTCCGGACCATCCTCCATTATCTGGCGCTCCCCTGCACAGATCCACGCAAAGGCCTCTGAATAAAACCACCCAGAACGGGGGGATGAACCCTTTTAAAGGGGCGTGTCTGTGTTTTGTGGCCCACCGTTGCAGGTCAGGGCCGTGCAGACCCAGTTCCCACAGGCACACACACACTTGTTGCACTGCATCTGAGTCTCCGCTCCGTCCTCATAGGTTTCATCCTCCAGAGCACATTCTGGACAAAGAAAAAAAACTCAAATGTTAGAAAAACCAGCATCTGTTCGACTGTACTTTGGTTCTTTGTGCTTTCTCATCCCCCTTCTCTCTCCTCCTATCACTTTCTACAGATATCCTTCCATCAATCTGAGAGTCAAACTTAATTATTGACATTATCACCACCACTTATTTAGACCTATAAATATATACATATAGTTATTTATGTATATATTTATCTATATTGTATATGTAATTTTGTATATATATATATGTGTATATGTATATATATATAGACATGTATATATGTATATGCTGTTGTTTTATTTCTGGAGTTAGTAACAAAAATAATTTCCGTCTGGGATTATTCAAATATTTCAGATTTTGATTCTAATTCTGATATTCCTGGCTCTGGATTCTGGATCCAAACCTTACCCTGCTACAATTACAGCCACTGTCAAAAGTCTTTTTGCTGTTATTACTGCTAGCATTATCATTAGTACCATGGTTCTGCTCCATTTTTCTGCCCGTTAAAAGGAAGTTTTTCCTTCCCTGTGTCACCTAGTGCTTTCTCATCCCCCTCCTCTCTCCTCTCTCCTCCTATCACTTCATGCAGTTGTTCCTAAAGCTGTGGAAGCTGGATCTGTGATTGGGATTCTCCTGCTCCAGGTTTCTGCCTGTTAAAAGGAAGTTTTTCCTTGCCTGTGTCGCCTAGTGCTTGCTCATGGTGGGAATGTTGTTTTTCTGTAATTAACTTCAGAGTCCGGTCTGACCTGCTCTGTTCTGAAAGCTGTGAGACAACTGTTGTTGTGATGTGGTGCTATAGAATAAAATTGAACTGAATTGAGTTACTTCTCTCTGGTGGCTGGTAGGAGGGCGTCAGGCAGTTGGTGAACTCGGGAAAACTCAGCTTCCAGTCGGCGTTTTCGTCCGACAGCTCGATCAAAGCGTCGACGCACAGAGACCTTAAATGCACGAGAGATCACCTGTAAGCCGCCATTTTCTTTCCTTATCCTGAAACATTATTTTTTTACTGCGGGTGAACTGACACCTTGGAAGCATTTTGAGGCTGTCACACATCAGATTGCTCTTTTATACTAATTTTGACACAGAAAACTGCAGCAAAAATAAATTAAATCGACTTTTTGTGACGTTTCTTCTCTTATCCGAATGCTGAACACTTATCATTTGAATAAAAAACAACACAAAAAGTGACTGTAAACCACATATAACAGGTTATATGTGGGAGCGTGAGCTGATTCTGGGTTGGATGTGGTACCTCAGGAGCGGGTTGGTTTCTGGAGTATTGGGGAAAGTGAGGTTGAACGCTGTTTCGTTGTGGTTCAGGAACCTCAGGAACTCTTTTGAATCCAGCTGGGAATCCCCGTCGTCGTACGTCTGCGCCAGAAAAACACAACCGTGACTCGACGTAAACTATTCAGTTACTCTCTCAGGCCACTGTTAACCCGATTCTTTAGTTGGAAACCTGAGAATAAACCAGAGTGGATCAAAAGTATAAAAAATTACATTTATTAGGTCACAGTTAAGTATAAGTTCTGGTCTTTTTAACTCAATTTTTTGCTTTTTTGCGGCATTCTTTGAAAATTGTAAGTCTTGTTTTTGCTTTTTGGTGTATATTTGGTCAATTTAGCCTTGGTTTTTGTATTTTGGTGTATTTTTTGGGTCATTTTAAGCCTTGTTTTTGCTTTTTTGGTGTACTAATGTTAGCCCGATTCTTTAGTTGAAGGCCTGAGAATAAACCAGAGTGGATCAAAAGGATAAAAAATTACATTTATTGGGTCACAGTTAAGTGTATCAGAGAGCCCTGAGAGCTAGGCGTGATGGGTATTTGTCTTTTGGGTTGGGACCCCTCCCTCAAAAAGGACTGGACACTGCTTATTGGCCAGTTACTTACTACCCCTAACCCTGACATGAACAGGCCAGGTCCTAATTAATGCAGATTACATTGAAATGTGATAACAAATGGAGTGGATCTAATGCAATCAGAAAAATATATAAATGTATATATCTTTATGCTGTTGTTTTTTTTATGGAGCTAGTAACAAAAATAATTTCCCTCTGGGATTATTAAAGTATGTCTGATTCTGATTCTGATTCGGAAAGAAAACAGAGTCTTTGGACACAGCTAGAGACTTTAACACAAAATATAGTTATAAAAGATAATAAAAAAATCAGTAATTTACATAGATCATGTGATAGCATACTATTCTAAAATGAGTAATTATAACCAAATTCTGACACCAGTGTCTGATCTTTTAAGTGGAAAACCAGGTGAGAAACGGCCTCGGTGTGTAAAACGTGCTGAGATCTGACCTGGAAATAAGCCTTCAGGACGCCTGGACCCAGATGACCCGATTCCCCCTCCGCCTGAATCCACTGAATGACTCTTTTCCTCAGCCAGTCGCGGTCGGACAGCAAACACACCACTGTAAACATTAACAGTTCGTCCTGAAAACCCATTTCTCTGAGCTCTGAGTGCCCCGGACCTCCCGACTTACTGGGGCTGGCCTCTGGTTTAGGGGGTCTCTCTGCCAAAACAAAAACACAAACCAGCATCAGCAACAGAGATGGATAAAGTACTGGAGTAAAAGTACAAGTACTATATAAAAGAAAATTTCTTGAGTAAAAGTTGAAGTGTTCTTTCAACTCCATACTTAAGTGGAAGTACAGAAGTACTCCATTTTTTTTTTACTCAAGTATTGAAAGTACGAGTACTGTGTATATTAAAAAAAGACAGTTTGATAGATATAGTTTATATATCATGTGAAAGGCCATACAGCTAATATACATATACAAAATATGTATATACATGCATATTTTTATCCTGTGCGGGCAGTGCTTTTATTTCTTTTATTTCTTTTATTTCTTTTATTTCTTTTATTTCTTTTATTTCTTTTCTTTTATTTTATTTCTTTTATTTCTTTTATTTCTTTTATTTCTTTATCAATTTATTTTAGAGATTGTTTATTTATTTATTTTGCATATTTTATTCTATTTTATTTCTATATTATTTCTATATTATTTTATTTTATTGCTTTTATCTTTTTACTTTGTACCTCATCTTTTCTTGCTGTACTTCTATTGTGTTATCTATTTATTCTGCACATCTTTTTGTGCAGCACTTTGGAAACAATATATACTCCAATAAATTACAGATAATTATTATTAGTACTTGACCCTGTAATGCCAAATGTATCATATTTGATTCTTACGGTTTCTGAAATGTTTTGCGTCTGACAACTTTTGCATAATTTAATGGTAAAAACTTTGCTTAAAATCCTATTGTACACAATCAGATACACCTGATAACAGGGGGCAGAAGACTACACAAAAAATAATCTTGACTTATCGCATAGTAATAAATCATTAATATTAAAAATGTATTTCAGTTTTTTCTTTTCACATATTTTGTTAAAAGGCCAAATAAAGACTTAAAACCAAAAAAAAGTTATTTTCTGTTTTGTTTTATTCTTGGATCAGGCTTTAAAGGGTTAAGTGGTTCTACTTCCTTACAGTACATCTCTGCCTTTGAGCCTTGGGGATGATTCGTTATGTTTACATATCAGTGACTGACCGGTGCAGCGTCCTCTGTGCTCCGCGTGGATCTTTATCCGGGCGGTGCAGGCCTCTCTGTGCAGCTCACAGTGGCTCCGGTAGGATTTCCCGTTACTGCCACACACCCAGTTCTCTGCACCGCCACACTGCTGCAGAGAGGGAGGAAAAGGCCGCCGTCAACTGCTGGGTTATGCACAAAAACAGGCCTCCTCCACCAATATGAGCTCTTATTAAAGAGCCAAGTAAGGCTAGCTAAGCATGGGTATATTAAGACTAGAGTGTTGGTAAAAATTCTTAAGGGATTTGGGGTGTGATGTATGCTGTGAGTGTGAATATGTGCGTTGCTATATCTGTGAAAAGGTAACTGATAAGTGCTGTCGTGTTCTGTGTTGCTGCCGGTGTTTGGGTTTTTTTTGTTGAATGTCATCTGTTTGTAACTGTGTCATAAAAGAAAAATAAATAAAAAAACTTTAATGAAAAAAAAAAAGTATATATATATATATATATATATATATGAGCTCTTATTATTCTAAACAAATAAAAATGAGCCTGCTGTGTAAAAAGTGTAAAAAAAGAGGGAAGGTTTAGATCTGATCAACTGGTTTTTCTGTCCACAGAAAAGTGCATATAAGTGAGATATTTAGCTGTTATTTACAAAATATTAGCTCATCTTAACAGCAATAATGGCACTATACAACGTTGAGACACGGCCATTTTTTTCTGGAAACATCTGGAAACAGAGGATTCAGCTGTCTGTTTTGGAGACATGTCTGATTTAAGATTCAAGATGTTAAAAAAAAATCCTTGGTTTTCTTAGTTGTATTCCATCCATACATCTTCTAACATTTTCTAATCTATAAAAAAAAAATCTAAGTCAGGGTGTCAGAAAAGTGAATATAAGTGAGATATTTAGCTGTTATTCAAAAAATTATTAGCTCTTAAAAGCCGTATGGGCACTAAACATGTCTAGACATGTCTGATTTAATATTCAAGATGTTAAAAAAAATCCCAGGTTTTCTTAGTTGTATTCCATCCATACATCTTCCAACATTTTCTAATCTAAAAAAATAAAATCTAACATAAATAAAACATCATTCTCCAGTCATAAAACATTTACCAAACACAGAAAATTGTAGAAAGTTACACAAAAAAGACAAATAAGTATGAATAAGTGTGCAAAAAAAGCCCACGAACCTGATTTAACCGAGGAAAGGGAAACAGCGAACTGTCGAAAGAGGATTATCAAAAGAGGACAGTCTGAAGTTGCCGTGGTAACCGTACCTGTAAACAGCGACACACTGGCTCTCCCCGGTCGGTGGACACACACTCTCGGCCCGC